AATTTTTTAATTAAACATAATAATTAATTAACAATTTTATAATAATTAGAATATTTCATCTAAATTAAATTTAACTTTTAAAATTACAACTAAAAAATGTTTTTTTATATTTTTTATCAAAATTATTCATTATTTTAAATAAATAATTAAAAAACAATTATATTTTATCATTATAATTAAAGTTTTAATTAATACATTCATTGTTTAATTTTATATCATAATTTGCATTAATATTTAATTTTTAATTATAAACTTAATTTATTTTTTATTAATAATAACTCAATTAAATTTTATTATAATTATATTATAAATAAATATCTTTTTAAAATAAAAATTAAAATAAATTTGGGATATTTAGTGACTACGAATATATATATCCGAAGTCACCCAATTTAATTTTTTAGGGATTATTTTGAATATGCTTATATGGAGTTATTCAATATCTCAAATTTACAAGGTGCGTTCGGAAATACATATTTAAATGGTATTTTTGGATTCTCAAACCACCATTACTAAATATAATGAGAAATTCTCTATATTTAATATTCTCTTTATTTCAAAATAAATGTGACGTTTAGAAAAAAAATATCCCAAAATACTTGTCACTTTATATAACTAATACAATTTTATATTTAATCTTTCAATTGTACTCTTTAATAAATCGTTTTAATTTATTGTTTACTTACTTAACATTAATGCTAATAATGCTAATTTGAATACAACAATAATTAATAAAGATAATTTAATAAAGTTATTATCTTCTCTTTCATTTATTACTATTTCTTAATCTGTATAAAATGATCAATTATGATAAATAATATGAGACGGAGAGAGAATATCTTTTATACTTTTTCGGTAACAAATTATAAGTAAATTTAATTTTTAAACGTATGTAATCTATATATGACCTAAATACATTAATGGTCAAATATATATATATATATATATATATATATATATATATATATATATATATATATATATATATATATATATATATATATATATATTAAATATATAGATTATATGAACTAATTTAAAGGTATGTGCTGCTTAATACATTGCATAGGACTTTCAAAAAATATGAACCTTAAAGTTTTAAAATGGCTTTTAATTAATTATCAAAATAATTTTTTTTATAAAACTTAGTCATAAGAATTTGATGAAACAAAAAGCATATCAGAGTAATATTATTGAATGAAATAAATGCAATTTAATATATTTGTTAAACATATAAGAAGCGCAAACTATTCTAGAATTAAGAGGTTTATAATTAATAAATTTATTACTATAAATAGACTTTTTGATGCAGTCGAAAGTTTTAGAAAATAGAAAACATTAAACCTAGAATAAAAATACAGAATTAAAAGTGTAAAACTTATTAGATAAGTTCTGGAATCTACCAGAAAGAAAAAACAACTCCGATTTATTATAATGAAAGATAATATTTATGGTCACGCCAAAGGTCTTTAAATATATAAAACAAAATATTCCTAATGAGTTTAGTCTTATGAGCCTTTAATCTAAAACATAATTAAATAAAATAAATAAAATAGAAATTGCTTAAATATTAAAACAAAAAATTACTTAAATATTAAAAAAAATTGTTTATAAAGATTTCACCCAATTCGAAGGTATTCATGTCTTTGATGCTTTCTCTCCTGTTGCAAAATTAATAATAGTAAGATTGCTTGTTTCCCTTACTTCCTCCTTAAATCTTCTCTTACACCAACTAAATATACACAATGCATTTATGCATGGTGATTTGAATGAGGAAGTGTATATGGCATTAACTCAGGGTATGCAAACTCCTCGTCCAAATCAAGTTTGAAAACATTTGAAATCACTATATGATCTTAAACAATCTAGTAGACAATAATTTGCAAAATTTTGTATTGTTTTATTATATAAAGGGTTTAAACAATGCCCTTGAAATCACTCTTTATTAATTAAAGCTAACAACCATAATTAATGCGAACAACTTACATTTAGAGGCTTCGTCAACACTAAAGTAATTCACTCGATCGTTGATAAGTTATATGTGCTCCTCCGGATCTCCCTTTCCATTATACTCACCCAACTTGTGGGAGATTTCTCAATGGATTTTGGTATTTTGTTTTTCAAGATCCATGAGTACAGAGGATGCTTCGACAGAGTCTTCGATGGCCGGTTTTATACTTGATCCAAGGGAGGAGTGTGGCTACCTCAGTCTCCCTTGGGGCTTTGGGGAGGACTTTGTTGTTTTCTTGATCCTCTGTTGATTTTTTTTAATTTAGAGTTTCATATTTCTTCACTGTGGTTGGCTTAAGGACGACTGCTTAAGTTCTCCTAGATATAGCCTCTTGAACAATGTTATGCATTATGGATGTTTTCTTTGAGGTTGAGCAATCGTTCTTCTACCGCTTGTGAATGCCAAACGATGGTGTGCATTTTTCTGCAACTTGATGAGTGTCAAAATGTCGTGTTTTTATTAGTAGTTTCGTGGCACTTATCGATTCATTTGTATTGTATTCTTTGAATAATCCCCCACTTTGTGTATAAATTTGTACAAATTGTGTTTAATCGATTTTTTATTTATTTATCCCATTTTTGTAGGATTTATCGCATGGTTGAAGCTTGGAGCATTCGAGATCGGATAAAGACTCAAGATGCAAGTTTTAGAGGAAAATAAGGTTCCCAGGTCGTGCTAAGCGCGGTCTGAGAGCGCTTAACGCGCCCTAGAAGTTGAAAAACCATTTTTGGCAGATTGGAGGATGCTTAGCACGATTGTATCATGCTGAGAGTGCTCAACACACTCGTAGCATGCTCATCAGTATAAGGAGGTTTGGTCCAATAAGTGAGAGCACACTTAGCGCGCTCTAAGGGGGATAAGCACGGTCTGCGGGTTTTAAAGTGTATAAATAGATTTCTAAATACATTTTTAGGATGTTTTGGGAATTTTTTGCTCCCAATCCATCACCCCCCATTCTTTGATTCTTGGATGATTCGACAACACATTTGGAGCTTACATTTTGAGGATTCAGAGTCGGATTATACTTCAAACGCGTTTGACACCGCGAGAGAAGTTTGATTTCTCTTCTCTTTTCTCTATGTATTTTCCTCTTGTATGGTTTTTTATGTATTTACTTTGATTATATGTATATTTACTGATTATGGTGTTGTATAAAATCTATTTCTCAAATCTTTATCGGTGATTATCCTTGATTTTTTCTTTATGCTTGGGGTTTGGGTTGCTATAGATATATACTTCTCGAATCTCTATCTAGGATAAATTATATGTTAGATTCTGGACTCTAGGGATAGATTTAGGTCTGACATTTAATTGGGTATCGAAGCTTAATGCTTCTGTGTTATTGTGTTGTGTGAGACATTGCCTCCGAGACGACACGACTGTTCTCTCAGATCCATGTTAGAAATAGCCTAGGTTGTGAGCAATACGTGAGGGTATTGACGAGTGATTTGGATTGAGTGTAATTGATCAGTGGGTTTAAGTAGTTGATAGGTGGATGTAACGCGAACCTGCCAGGTTTTCTCGGATCCAAAGAGGGAGTTCTTTTTCTGTTCATATCTTTTAATTCCCACCTTTACCTTTAAAACTATTCAAAACCAAACTCATTAATGCGAGACTTGTCGAACGGCGACTCGATAACCACTAATCCATGTGGAGACGATATGATATAACCTATAAAAATACTTACTTTTACTTGTCGTTTTATTGCTTCAGCATAACTCGTTGCCTCTTTGAAATTCAAGGTTGGCTAGCAGTAGTTGTAAACCAAGTAAGGCTTCAGGTTGCAAAATTGGAGGTAGAATCGAAGATCAAATTGAAAACATTTGGACATATCCATCTCTTTGAGGTGTCTGGAGTAGATTTGGATGCAACAGAACCTCTGATCATGTACTTGAAATACCTCGCGGAGGAGGTGGTTGATTGATCATTGCTTAAGTTGCGGTAACGACAGTGGCTTCTCACGTAATAGTAGAACCAATAACTTTGGATCCGGACATTACTTGGAAGCGTTGGGATTAAAAATTTGGAAATTCAGGAAATCAGAGTTGAACTAATACCTAATTGGATCCAACAGAATGGATCTTCTTGTTCGATTTTGAGTGCTCTTGATTCGATGACCTGAGAAGATTTCGAACTTAATCGAAGAATGAACGTGAAATCATGGAAAATATGGGAATCATAAGTCGTTTCACACAGACGGTGCAAGTGTTTTGTTCTAGAACCAAAAAAATGAGTAAAGATTGGAGATAATTGTAGATCTTCGCTTGTAATACGACAAAGATGGGACCGACTTATAAAATTAACACTCTTAAATTCAAATTATTATACGAGAAAGAAAAGTAAATTGAAATAGTCTTCCTCCAAAATTAGTACATTAATATAGGATATTATAAGATACCTTTTAATACTTTTCATTTGATGAACATACCAAAATATTTTTCAATCAAATTCTTGGGATGTGTTACAATATTATTTCACATATTACTTTTATAATATGTAATAGGATATGAGACTGTTAACTCTCACTCGTATCACAAGAATTCTTAAGTTGCAAATGAATGTCCATGTAACAACTGTGACAAAGGTTAGCCATGATTGCTATTGAGTTAGTAGTTTGGTTTCTCACGAATCTTAATGAATTTGTTTAGTAAAGTCTCAAATTTTCATAGATCAGCTCCATGCTACTCTTCATGTGAAATTATCTATTTGGTGCTTCTTAATGAAGTATACACACAGTCACACACTACCCTTATCCATTCATCGTTTTGCTGTTTGCATCAGCATCACTGCACGTGTACCCTCTTTGAAACAGAGTAACCATAATAACTACCGACCAGAACCATAGTTTATGAGATCAAAAAACAGGAAATTCATTAAACAAAACAAGAGCAATTTAATTCCCAAAAAGGACAAATATACATAAATTGTTTTTCTTATTTAATTGTTTACTAATACATAGTTAAATAGATGCTAAAATATCATGATAATTTTATGTAGTAGTAGCAGCCATCCAAATGGTCTCATTGTTTTCACTCTCACCACCTTCTTTGCATTTTCTAACACTCTCATACTTTTTCATTCTTACATCACTGTCTTTATCTTTAGTCTCTCCACATGCAACAACAATTCCACTCTCCACCACTTTCTCCTCTGTTTCTTTTTCTTCATCTTCTTCAACATCTTTTATTTCTCCTCCAATTTTTCCATTTTCAGAAAATTCTTCTTCATTGAATACTTCTTCATTTTCATCTATAACATCAGCAACATCATCAACAACATCACCATCATATTCTTCTTGTTCTTGTTCTTGTTCTTGTTCCCGAGATGGATTTATCGAAAAACAAAGGCGAAGACGGCCATGGCTTCTATCAGCTTCAAAACAAGATGTTCTCGGTGGGACCTTAGTGACTTCAATCACTAATCTTCCATCTTGGCGGCGAGGTCTAACACGAAGAGACTCTGACCCCCTTATCGTCGTTAAAGGTGGTGGAAAATTCTGAATCTTGGCTTTCTTAGAACCACCTAAAACTTCACGACAAGGTTGTTGTTCTCTTTCCTCAGTTTTTCCCATTAAAGACAACAACATGTCGTTTTCCACAATGTCAGTACCACTCTCATTACCAAGATTCTCCGTACACATTTCAAGACTCTTTGGACTCAAAACCAAAGAGGAACGTTTCTGTTGAGGATGAACATAACCGGTTGCGGTCGTGGTAGTTGTTTCTTTTGTTGACGTGTTTTGTGAGATATTGGAAAGAGCATCAAGGAAGTTCCAACCACCATTGTTGGACTTGCTTTGAAAAGTTTCTGATTTGTTCATGTTGATGTTGATGTTTTCTTCATGTTGATGTTGGGTTTTGATGTTCGAATCAGTGAAACAAGATTTGAAGGCTAAATCAATGGATTGTTTTGGAGAAGGTAACCTTAATCTTAATGTTCTTGACTCAACAAGTTGAGTTTCAAGATGTAACTGTAATCCAGGATGACACACAGTTGCAGCCATGGTTAATGTTTCTGTCTTAATCTTAAACTAGGATGTTTCAAAGTTCAAATTAAGAATTTTTTTTAATAATTGGGAAGGAAAAAGAGGCTTAGGTATGAAGAGAGGGAGAGAAATGAAAGATGGAATGAGAATGGTGTGTTGAAGAAGTGATGGGTGAGAGATGCATTTATAGTCCCAAAAAGTGTTTGGAACATGAGGTGGGAAAAGAGAAGAGTCCTTTTTGCACCACTTGAATTGTACAATTTTTTAATCCACCACACAACATAAAAGATAATAAAAAATGAAATTTTCAAAATAAAGAAAACAACTAATGGTTTCAAGTGTGTTTTTTGTGTGTCTTGCATAATATCAAAAGATAATAGTTGTGTGCATAATTATGTTGTCTTACAATATCATGTGTAGATAAATGTAGTGTTGTTGGCATGTTCTTATGTAAAAATCAATTATATCTATAAAAAGAGAGACATGTGGTTTATTTTGCAAATTATCGATAAAAAATTATAATTTTGTATTTAATATGTAGGTATGGCCAAGTGTAAAATGGTTCATACTATATCCCTCATTAACACTTTACAGCTTTAATTCAAGTTGATTTATGGGCTTGGATCCTTTAATTTTAATTATTTTTTTTAAATTTCAAATTTTTTTTACATCTTTTTTCCTCCAAAACAAACATCAATATCTTATTTATATTTTTTAAATTTTGTCTAAACTCATTTTAATTTTTTGAATTTTTATTCTTGATTTATGAGGGACAAATCGAGTAAGAGAATAGACATTTTAAAAAAAAAGATGATTGGCATTTTTGAAATCGAATTCATAAAATAAATTTAAATAAATATTTAGATTATGAATGATATTTCTAGGATGAAGAGTCTCTTTCAAATAAAATTTATTTTTCAATAAATTTCATCTGAATGCAAGTATTTTTGACAAAACTAAAGTGGTCCACAAGATTTACTATGCATGCAATTGATCTTTATTTAATTAAACAATAATTAATAAGAATGTTGTGGAAAATGACTCGAAGATTGGAGATAGTTTGAAAGAAACATTACTCTCATGATAATATTGTTGGAAATCCACCAAATTCTATGATAAATTTCTACCACAATGATGATTAGTTATGAGACAAATAAAGAAAAGAAGACAAGACAAATATTTCTGCAGAGTTTCTCTCTGCCTACAAACTGTGGAAAACTTTCTTATTCACTTTGCAACTGCAAAACCGTGAATGACTTGCTTACAAAAATAGGGATTACTCCCTCTATTTATAACTGAGCTTACACCCTAAGCCCAATGCCCAAAATATCTTTTTGTTACTAAATCAAATCTAATCAAATCTATTCTAGACTTAAATCAAATCTATTTAAATCTAAAACAAATCAAATCTTCTTTGACACATATGAATTACAATTTAACACACCACCTAATTCATTGTGTCTAAACTGTCTATGTTCATCATGGTCCTTAGCTTTCTGAATACTTCGACTTGCACTCCCTTCGTCATGATGTCTGCAATCTGATTCTCAGTTCTGCAGTGTTCCAAATTCATCTTCCCATCTGCTACCTGCTCTCGAAGATAATGGAATCTCATTTCGATGTGCTTACTTCGACCATGTGCTATTGGGTTCTTTGCCAGATTAATAGCTGACATGCTGTCTATCTTCATGGTAATTACTCCATGATTTTTCCCTGTTATCTCTTCGACCAAGCTCATCATCTAAGTTGCTTGACATGCACAAAGAGAAACAGCTATGTATTCTGTTTCACATGATGATAATGCCACTACTGGTTCCTTTCTTGAATTCCAAGCAATTGGTGCACCACCTAGCATAAACACATATCCTGCTATTGACTTTTGATCTTCAACATCACTACACCAACTCGAATCAGTGTATCCCACTAACTTGCATTTTTTTCCTTTATCAACTGCAGGAAACAAAATGCCATAATCGAAAGTTCCTTTGAGATACCTTAGTATCCTCTTCACTGCTGCTAGATGTGATACCTTTGGCTTCTGCATAAATCTACTTACCATACCTACACTGTATGCTAAGTCATGCCTTGTATGACAAAGATATCTTAATGATCCAATAAGTCTTCTATATTGGGTTGGATCAACATCATCTTCATCTGCATCTTTCGACGGTTGCAGTCTTGGTTCTGCAGGTGTCGAAGTTGAGTTGCATTCTTCCATCTCAAACCTCTTAAGAATTTCTCCTGCATATCTTCTTTGATGCATCATCAAACCTCTACTGCTCTTGTAGAATTCGATACCAAGGAAATATGAAATCTCACCCAAATCAGACATTTCGAATTCCTTGCTGAGATCACCTTTGAAGTCTTCGATCTCACTCTTGCAGCTATCTGTTATCAACAAATCATCTACATAGAGACATAGTATAAGCAATTTACTCTTGCTTCTTCTTACATATACTCCATGTTCAGTTGTGCACTTCACAAATTCCTTCTCCCTTAGAAAACTATCAATTTTCTTATTCCAAGCCCTTGGAGCTTGTTTCAATCCATATAGGGCTTTATGTAGCCTGTACACCTTTCTTTCTTCGTCATGTTTCACAAACCCAACTGGTTGTTTAACATAGACTTCTTCATCTAAGGGTCCATTTAGGAATGCACACTTCACGTCCATCTGACATATGTGCCAACTGTTGATTTCTGCTAGACCAACAACCAACCTGATTGTTTCGATCCTAGCAACAGGTGCAAAAACTTCGTCGAAGTCTATTCCTTCTTTCTATAGAAATCCTTTCGCCACAAGTCTTGCTTTGTGTCGAGTTACTTCACCTTTTGAATTTGTTTTCACTTTGTATACCCACTTGACATCAATTTCTTTCTTGCCTTGAGGCAACTCGACAAGTGACCAAGTGTTGTTGTCTTCGATAGACTTTACTTCTTCGTTCATTTCTTTCACCCACTTCGAATCCTTTAATGCTTCAGCTGCATTAACAGGTTCGACATCTGCATAGAAAGCATAATGTACCAGCTCACCTTCATTATCTATTACATCATCTGATGTAATCACACAATCTTGCAATCTTGCAGGCATGCGTCTTGTTCTTTGAGGTCTGCTTGTACTTGGTATATCTACTGGTTCCTCTTGTCGAACTTCTCTTTTGACTTGAGTTTCTGGCTCTTCGAATAGGATTCCCACTGAATCTTTCTTGACATTTGCAGTCCAATCCCATTCTTTAAACTCATCTATGATCACGTCCCTGCTGATCACAATCTTCTTATTCTCTGGATCGAACAACTTGTAGCCTCCTGTCGAATGATATCCAACTAGAATCATTTGACTTGACTTATCATCAAGTTTTCTTCTCAACTGATCTGGCACATGTCTATGTGCAATAGATCCAAATACCTTCAGATGGCTCAAGCTAGGTTTCACACCAGACCAACATTCTTCTGGAGTAATTCCTTCTAGCTTCTTTGTAGGACATCTGTTCAAAATGTATGTTGCAGTCGAAACAGCTTCACCCCAGAACTCTTTAGGTAAACTCTTGCCTTTCAACATACTTCTCACCATATTCATGATGGTTCGATTTTTCCTTTCTGCAATTCCATTTTGCTGTGGAGTATAGGGTGGCACCACCTCATGCACAATCCCTTCCTTTTCACATAATTTGTCGAATTCTTTCGACACATATTCTCCTCCACCATCAGTTCTCAAAACTTTGAGCTTTCGACCACTTTGTCTTTCGACCATAGACTTAAACCTGGTAAATACTTAGATCACTTCACTTTTCTTCTTGATTAGGTAAGTCCATAACTTTTGACTGAAATCATCTATGAATGTAACAAAGTATTTGTTACCTCCCATCGAATCCACCTGGATTGGTCCACATACATCAGAGTATATGACTTCAAGACTAGCCTTCGATTTGCTTCCTGCATCCTTGCTGAAGCTATTCTTGTGTTGCTTCGCCTGCACACATTCTTCACATACTTCGTTTGGAATGTCAATTTCTGGCAATCCTGAAACCATATTTCTTCTCTTCAAATCTCTGATGTCTCTGAAGTTGAGATGACCTAGTCTATAATGCCATATCCATTCATCTCTGCTAGCTGCAGTTGAAAGGCACTTGTGCTCCATCACATTTAGTTCAATCTTGAAGGTTTGATTCTGAGACATAGGAGCCTTCAAGATTAATCTCCCATTTGCATCAACGACTCTCATCAACTTATCTTCGATTGACACTTTATAATTATTTTCGACCAACTGCCCTATACTGAGCAAATTACTCTTCATGCCTGGTATGTACAATACATTTGAAATTACTGACTTCTTGCCATCTTTCCTCATGATCATAACATCACCAATATCTTCAGCTGCTAGGGTATTGTCATTTGCAAATTTTACCATATTATTCGTTGAGGGTTTTATATTGACGAACCAGTCTTTCCTTCCAGACATATGTGATGAACATCCTGAATCCAAGTACCATTGGTCCTTGAATCTATCTTCATCTTTTATTGTGACCATCAGCATCATCTCTTCTTCTTCTTCTTCATGTTTTGCAAGCTTTGCATCACTTTCTTGATTCTTTCATTTTTCTGGACAATCACTCGAATAGTGACCATACTTCTGACAATTGTAACATTGAATGTGACTCTTATCAGGTTTTCGACCACCACCTCTTCCTCTATTTGCAACACCACCTCTTTGGTTGCCTTGGTATGGTCTTCTTTGATTCGACACGTCTCCTTCGATTTGGTTTCTTCTACCATTCGATTTGTTGTAGCCACCTCTACCTCTGTCGAAACACTTTCCTTTGCCTTTGGTCTCTTTTGCTGCATGTGCCTGCAAGGCCACATCACTCTTCAATTTTCCTGCAGCTCTTTCGTTCATTCTTTGTTCATGAGATTCGAGCGTCCCTTGAAGCTCTTCCTTTGTCAATTTCGACAAGTCTTTTCCTTCTTCTATCGCCACCACTATGTGGTCGAACTTAGGAGCTAAAGATCTCAAGATCTTCGAC